TGAAGAGTCCAAGTGGTGTAAAATTAAATTAAAGGGAGGGGACTTACTTATCGTCGCGTGTATCTACAGATCCCCAAACTGTGGCCCACTAAATCAAAGGAACTTAAGAAGCTTAATAAACAATGCGGCAATGCTCAACCCTAGCCACCTCCTTATCATGGGGGACTTGACTATGGCGACATCGACTGGAGAAACGAGTCCACCCCGAATGACTTGAATAACCCTGCTACTCTTTCTGTAGAAACTCTGAGAGATAATTTTCTGTTCCAACATGTTAGAGACCCGACACATTACAGAGGGGAGCAAACACCCAAGCCACTTGACCTCATCATAACAAACGAAGAGGGTATGGTGGCCAAACTGGAACACCTTGCCCCAGTTGGCACCAGTCACCATATAGTGTTGTCATTCAGATTTAACTGTTACCTAGTTCAGGATAAGGCCAGGCCAAGGTGCAAATATTACAAGGGAAATTACAATGGGATGAGGGAAGAGATGAGGGGTATCAACTGGCCTGACTCATTAAGGTACAAGAACGCAGACACTTACCTGAATATCATAACTAGTAAAGTGACCCCTTTGATCGATAAATATATTCCCAAGACCAAACCCAGTGCTTCTAGGAATACGAGGGGATCCCTACCCAATCACATAGCCACTTTCCATTCACTGGGGATCTTTTGTTCATCCAGGCATTTACAAATCCGTATCTTCAGGGGCTCGGCAAGCTCGTTGCACAACTCTCTTAGCACTCTAAGATGCACCATGTCAGGGCCGGGACTCTTATGGACCTTTAGCTTTGACAGTTTACTTCTAATACCCTCATTTGTGAACACAATGTGGGTCAGTGATGTGTCGAACCGTCTGTCCTCAAACGCAGGAAGGTTAATCGCATCCTCTCTTGTGATTACTGAGGAAAAGAAGCTGTTCAATGCCTCGGCTTTGTCCTGGTCAGAATCTGCGTAACTACCATCTCCAAGCTTCAGGTTTGATACTCCTACTCGCGTTTTTGGGTCAAACGATGAGCAAGACAGGTGGATGTATGCAAGAGCCAGAAACCAAGCAAAGATAGAGTGTAGGAGGGCTGAAAAGGAGTTCCAGAGGCTGGGTGCAAGTGAGGTCAAGTCAAACCCAAAAGCGTTTTACAGCTATGCAAAGTCGAAATTGAAAACGCGAGTAGGAGTGTCAGACCTGAGGCTGGGAGTACACAGATTCTGACCAGGATAAAGCTGAGGCATTGAACAACTTCTTTTCCTCGGTGTTCAAAAGAGGATGCAACTAACCTTCCTGCGTTTGAGGACAGATGGTTCGACAGAGCACTGACCCACATTGTGTTCACAGAAGAGGGTATTAGAAATAAACTGTCCAGGCTAAAGGTCCATAAGAGACCCGGACCTGACATGGTGCATCCTCGAGTGCTAAGAGAGTTGTGCAACGAGCTTGCAGAGCCCCTGAAGATCCTGTTTTGTAAATGCCTGGATGAACAAATGGTCCCCAGTGAATGGAAAGTGGCTTATGCGAGTCCTATCTTCAAGAAGGGCGATCGTCACTCCACGAACAACTATAGACCGGTGACCCTGACCAGCATAATATGTAAAGTACTTGAGAGTATTATCAGAGATGCTGCAATGGAACATCTAATACGAAACAACCTTGTAAAAGATTGCCAACACGGTTTTATGCCGGGGCGCTCCTGCTTAACACAATTGCTCAAGGTATTGGATATTTGGACCCATATTCTGGAACGGGGTGGTAATATCGATAATATATACCTGGATTTTGCCAAGGCTTTCGACAGTGTAACCCATGAAAGGCTGAAAATCAAACTGGAAGGGTACGGAATTCGGGGAAAAGTCCTAGCGTGGATAGAAGACTTTCTACATGACCGCAAGCAGTGTGTGGTGATTAATGGCACGAAATCGTCATCTGTACATGTCACAAGTGGGGGTACCACAGGGCAGTGTATTGGGCCCGCTATTGTTTGTTTGTTTCATAAATGACATGCATGACGTTGTACACTCCTCCATACAAATGTTTGCTGATGACGCCAAGTTAATTCGGGAAATTAAGAACCAAGCGGACTGTGAAGAACTGCAGAAGGACCTCTGTGGGCTTCAGGAATGGTCGAAGAAATTGCTGCGGAGATTCAATGTCACGAAGTGTAAGAGGATGCACCTGGGGCGTAACATCGGTAAGGAGGCATATCATATGTCCCAACGGGATGAAGAAACTGCACTAGTTGAGACTGTGTGAGAGAAGGACCTAGGTGTGTATGTTGACAATGAGCTGAAGTTCTCGGGCCATTGTGAGAAGAAGGTAAATCAGGCATATAAATTATTGGGTCTTATAAGAAGGTCGTTCAGATATCTAGACCAGTGGTTCTCAACCAGGGGGGAATTCAGGTTTTCAGGGGGGGGGGGAAACTGATTCGGGAGCAAGAGATATGTTCGATGAGAAATCAATCACAGAATTTTGGCCCTTGATGTGCGATTCCTACCCAAAAGTGGCAGAAAGAGCTATCCGTGCATTGCTTCCGTTTGTGTCGACATATCTTTGTGAGTCAGGCTTTTCAACTCTGTTGCAAATTAAAACGAAGCAACGTAGTAGATTAGAGGTAGAAAATGACCTGCGTTGTGCCCTTTCAAGCACTCCTCCGCGTATCCCAGAATTGGCGAAGAAAAAACAATCACAGGCCAAGGTGCAAACATTACTAGGGAAATTACAATGGCATGAGGGAAGAGATGAGGGGTATCCACTGACCTGACTCATTAAGGCACAAGAACGCAGACACTACGGCAAGGAGAGACCTAATTGAGGTGTACTAACTCAGTCGAGTGTCCTGGAGCTGGCTGATGCTCGCCCCACAAGGGGTCACAGATCACTTTTACTCTCTTCACCACTGATCGGCTTGTTAGCCGCTTGGGCGATCAATCACGTCTCCAATTAATTTTCCTTTTCTTTTATCCTCTTCACCAAAAGATCGGCTCGTTAGCCGCTTGGGCAATCGGGCACGTCTCTGTTACGCACTGTTGGCAAGTACTGGGCATGTACTGGCTCCTGAATGTACCTGAACCCGCTTCAGTGTTGGTCAAGTCTTGTCTTGAAAGAGCTCACACTCAGTGCCATCAACACTTTCTGGGAGATTGTTCCAAGAGTTCACAACTCTCACTCCGAAAAAGTTTGCCCTCACAGTTTTCTGGACTTGCGGCTTCTTCAATCTTGAGCTGTGACCCCTTGCGGGGCGAGCGTCCGCCAGCTCCAAGTAAGGACACTCGACTGAGTAGTGCCCCTGGAGATGCTTATACTGTACACCTCAATTAGGTCACCCCTTGCCCGTCTGTAGTATAAGCTAGGCAAGTTCAGGCGCTCCAATCTCTCAGGGTAGCCGAGGTGCTGAAGGGCAAGCACCAGTCTGGTGGCCTTCCTTTGAACATTTTCAACCAAATGACAGTGCCTAGCATATCTCGGGGACCAGACACGGTGACAGTACTCCAGATCAAGGTTGAAGAAGCTGCGTCGAGAAAACTGTGAAGGCTAACCTTTTCATTGTGAGAATTTCTGAACAATCTGCCAGTGTGGTGTGACGGCACCGGGTGCGAGCTGCTTCAAGACCAGGGCTGTGGAGTCGAAGACAAAACCTTCGACTCCGACTCCTCAAATTTTTATGCTTCCGACTCCGACTCCTTGGCCTATTTGTAACAACTATTTCTACCATCCTAATTGTAATTTGTATGTTGTAACCTGCGTAGGTAAAAAGTAAAACACCGTGGCTATACTGCTACAGCTTTATTAATGATCTGGACGATATTTAAGAACTACAAAAAGATGATAGGCTTGACTTTCAAAGTTTCAATCAAAAGAAAAATAAATTTATTAAGAATTCAAGATATTAACTAGAAAACACCATTTACATGTATATCTAAAAGTTCGATCTCAGCATATGAATTTTGTTTAAGCTCATAATCTGATGTGGATCTAAATGATGATCCTACAATTCCTTTTAAAGTAAAGTTATATATTTATGTACATTAAAGAAATGAATACCTTATTAAGGAAAATGGATAAACCTTACATGATTAAGTTATTAAATTAAATTTGCCTTAATCTCACCAAAAACAGGTTGTAGCTAATTGTTTTGTAGCCGAGAGCCTCTGTGCAGTTTTCAACGAAACAAAATTTAATATAATTCAAAATTTCAAATGGTAAAGAAGAGACTATCGTCAAAAATTATAGTGCTATACTGTGCCTGCTACAATAAATTCATAATAATGCTTATAAAATGGAAATAAATTCTTTTAATAATTTAAGAAAATTAGTGGGATCAGTGGAATCACTGCAATGAATATGCCCGAGTTCATATATTTGTTCTTAGGAACAGAATAGCTTCAGTCGGAGTCGGAGTCTGGACAATTTTACCGACTCCGACTCCACAAGCCGAAATTTCCTCCGACTCCTCGACTCCGACTCCACAGCCCTGTTCAAGACCAGACTTGATTAGCAATGGAGCAGGTTCAGATGCATTCAGGAGCCAGTGCAAGCTCAGTACTTGCCAACAGTGCTTAACAGTAAAAGGTTGGGGAGGGGGGGTCCAAGAAGTTGTGGGTGGGGGAACATGGCGAGGAGCACATTTTGAAGCCAGGTGTACTTTATGTTAGGAGATATGGTTTTGCTTTTATCTTCGTCGCCACTGATTGGCTCGTTTGTGGCAAAGAAGATAAAAGTGAAAAGTAAAAAAGAAAGAATATCTCTTAATATCAAGTACACATGGCTTCAAAATGGCCTTAAAATCCCCATGAGGTCAATAGTAATTACTTTTTAATATATAAAAATGCCTGAGTACAGTACTGTACTACTGCATTAAAGGAAAATTATTGGAATTTTCTGATGAAAAAGGGGGTCCAGTCCTGCAGGACTTCCCCCCCCCCCCCTCCCCTCCCGGATCCGCTCCTGCTGGCAGTAAAAAATTGAAGAAGTCAGGAGTCGCTAAAAATACAAATATATAAAACATTTTATATATTTATTTCAATTCCAATAAACTTTAACAGATTATATAGTAAACAAATAATATCTTAGGTATGATTTTTCGTGATTGCCATGTAAAATTTCCCTATCATAATACATTCTCCCCCTTTATTGTGTTTAAACCCCCCAAAATAGCACTATTTTTAGCATGTAAACAAGTGATAAGCAACTAATACAGGATACTACAGCACAAGGAATGCCTTTGTAAAATATGGAAAATTTGTACCCTAATCACATATTTTTAAAGATGGTACTGTACTGTACTATATTTTACAACAAATTAAGCAATCCCAAGAAAGTTTATCATCACAAAGACCCTTAATAAAAATGCAGCAATAAAATATATTCTTCTTGAATGTAATATAAATCAGTCTTCAACACACTGACATAACCAAGCTACAAAAGGAACCATGATACTTTACTTACAATGGCAGCAATATTCAATATCCATTACACTTAAAAGGGTCCCTCACACAACCAAGAGCGAATATTTCAACAAAAAGAACAGGTACGCTTATGTGCAACAGCCTACAAATAGAGATACTGTATAGCACAAGTGTTTCCTATAAATACAAACATTTAAGGTGAAGAGACAAATGGACACTGTGATTACCAATGAATAATAATTTGCAATATTCATAGAGCTTTAGATTTTTTTTTGCATTTGTGAGCGGTAACATTTTGCCACCAATTAATGTATAAGAATACGGTACCAGTTTGAGAAAGGCGCTGATGTCAGCTACCATAGAGTACTCTCAGAAATTCACAGCTGTTTATGGCCGGTCTACAATGAAACATCTCCTTTTACTCTTCTCAATTTATTTCTGTTAATTTCTATACAAATCGCATAGGGTAGCTATACTGTACTATATGTGCTATACACTCAACTTTTTCTTCATCTGTAATTCCTTCATTGTGTCTGCTTTTCAAAAACCCTCAGCTGTGCCCTCCATCTTTTCTATTCATATTCCTGTATAAAATACTTAATAATTCCATTTTTATTCTCCTAACAATTAAGTAATATTCATCCTCCCTACCTTCATCCTGCCTAATTTCATTCTTTTTCACCCTCCCATCATCTCAACTTAAATGTCACTGTTTTCCACTTCTACCTAGTTAATATTAATGATATTTCCTGCACATCAATACATCTTACATCCAAAGGCCTCTAAGATGGGTATGATTGTCTAGGCAAGAAGTTCAACATCAGGGTCTACTAGTACAGCTGCACTGGTGTCTGATGAGCCATTTGTTGAGGCACCTAGGCGTCGGGTCACGTCCACTACAGTGTCAGCGAAGTTGCTGGCACCATTCGCCACCTGCAAGAATGTCATCACCTGGAATAACAGACTTTTCACTTCAGTTTTATGGCAACGAGCATGTGTAGCAAATATGAATAGGAGAAGACATACATGGCTGGAGATATTAGCAGTATTACTAAGCCATGCAGGAAGTGTTGTGTTAGAATATTCAGAAGTATTTATAAGTGGTCTTACAAAAGGATAAAAGTAGAATACATATACTGTACAGTGATATCTCCGTTAGCCGGAACAATTGATGCAGAACACTTCCAGGAATGAGAGAATTCTGGGTAACGAGACGACTCTCTCAAAGCCGGAAGAAAACCCCATCCCCGGAATTTTCCGCGTAACGAGAAATTTGTCTTGGAATTTACCAGAATGATGCATTATTTCATCTCTCAAAGCAAAGCCGGAAAAAATCCCCCATCCCTAGAAAAGTTTTCTCAGAATTTCTTGAAAATGCCCGATTTCCATCTCTCAAACCCGGAATAAAAATCCCCCATCCCTGGAATTTTCAGACCAGCTTTTTAGTCCATTATCACAAATAAAATTTCTCATTAAGGATTCTGAATATACTGTAAATGATTAAAAATTAATGAATATTTTTTGATTTTGCATATGTTACTCCCATACACAGGAGAATACGCATTTCGGGGCTGCATTTGTACATCACTGAAAACTAGTTGACGCAAACGCTAACAGCGTCAATTTATGAAATCGTTTACGCCGACGGCATCAAATTTCTCGGCCATTTACGCTGACGCTGGCGGCACCACTTTTTTCGCTGACGCGTACAACACTGGATAAAAGTAAAAGTAAAGTACAGGTAGATGAAAAACAAACTTTGTCACCAACAAACTCATATTTTATCTTAATATATCAAAATTTGGTGGGTGAAAAGGGTTTTTATGTTCATCGGGACTGTCATCAGACGGATACCCCCCCTCCATGTGAAATGTTCCAACAATCCCGATGGCAAATCCTATTCACCAGGACTGCCTTCAGTTCTGTGGCATCTTTGAATGACCTCACCCTACACTGTTCCTATCGGTTGGGTGGTTTAACAACTGAAAATATGGACCTTTCATATAAAATTTCATTAACGATCATGCAACAACTTGCTTGTTTACATACAAATATGCACCATCAAAAGTATCAAGAACATTACAAAACTGCTAAGCATGCAGTTAATTGAGTAAGAGAAAAAAAACCTCAAGGTACGGGATTTGGGGTTAGTGTCCTAGCATGGATCGGAGACTTTCTCTATGATTACAAGTAGAGTGTGGTGATTAATGGTATGAAATCATCGTGTGTACCCACGACAATTGGGGTACCACAGGGCAGTGTATCGGACCCATTATTGCTCGTTTGCTTCATAAATGATGTGCCTGGCGCTGTACATTCCTCCATACAAATGTTTGCAGATGACACCAAGTTATTTCGAGAAATTAAGAACCAAGAAGATTGTGAACAGCTGCATATCATGTGTCCCAAGAGATGAAGAATCTGCAGTAATGGAGACAATGTGAAAAGGACCTAGGTGCATATGTTGACAATAAGCTGAAGTTCTTGGGCCATTGCGAGAAAAAGGTGAAACGGGCAACTAAATTATTAGGTCTTACAAGAAGGTCGTTCAGATATCTATACGGTTCATCCCTCATAACGATCTTCAAGAGTGAGGTGCTTCTCTGTCTGGTCCGAGATATGCTAGGGAGTGTCAGTGGATTGAAAATGTCCAAAGAAGGACCACCAGACTGATGCATGTAGTACGGCACCTCGGCTACCCACAGCGCCTGCAAGGGGTCACAGCGCAAGGTTGAAGAAGCAGCAAGTCCAGAAAACAGTGAAAGGTAACTTTTTTGGAGTGAGAGTTGTGAACTCTTGGAACAACCTGCCAGTGTGTGTTGTAACAGCACCGAGTGTGAGCTCTTTCAAGACCAGAACTGACAAGCACTAGAGCAGGTTCAGATACATTCAGGAGCCAGTGCATGCCAAGTACTTGCCAACAGTGTGTAACAGAGACGTGATCGACCGTCCAAGCAGCTAACTGATGCAAGTGTCAGTAGTGCATCCAAGAAAAGGAAAACAATTACGATGGAAGTGAAACTTTATGTAATTAAACTTTCTGAAAAAAGTGAAACACCCTCAGTGATCAGTAAGGTGTTGGGCTTCAGCCGCTCAATGGTCGGAACAATTTTGAAAGACAGAGAAATTTCTTGAACATGTTAAAGGATCTACACCAATGCAGTCAACTGTGATAACTAAACAAGGAAGTGGATTGTTAATTGAAATGGAAAATTGTTAGTGATATGGGTGGAAGATCGAAATCAACGGCATCTGCCTACAAGTTTAGCCTTGATTCAGGAAAAAGCAAGAAGCTTGCACACTGACTTGAAGGCTAAACGTGGTGGTGAAATTGAAGGGGAAGCTTTTGTTGATCTAGAAGAGTAGACACCTTTCCACTGCTGGACCTGATCTTGTGATCACCCATTCATAATGCCCCCTCCACACACACTAATAAGGAGATTGATTGTCCTCTAGAGGCAGGTCTAAAAGATAGTTGGGTCTCCCTGACCAGTACACACATCACACCAAGTGGATTATTTTCCCAACTGCCTACCCATAAATCCAAGAGGAGAATGTTCGAGTCACCTGGCTACAGGCTTATCTCACTATGGTAATAGGATTTCAAATCAATATTATGTCTAGTTCGAAGCTCCCAGTTCAGGTAGTTTCTGTTAATAATAGCCAACTAGAAAGTAGAAATTGGCCATTTTTGGCCTACCCTTGGTTCTCCTCCCATATCTTTTAGGCTCATGCACCTCTTGACCAAACTGGTCTAATCCATGCCCAAACCATCTCGACCTGCCTCTGCACAGAACTCTGCCAATACTCTCAATACCCAGTCACCCTCTTAGCTCTGAACAGGGCCTCCTGTCTTGCAATGCCACCTTACACATCCACCTCACCATTCAGCCCACTCATGTCTTCTGTCACCCTCATAACTCCCTTGTTACACTGCCCTACAACATCACACTTCTCACACCAGCCACATACATTCTACCTTTCATCAAGAGGGAAAGTCTTCTTGTTGTCAATAAAGGTAGCACCTCACCTTCCACACTCATTGCACATTATTGAGTTGCTGGCAGCACCTTTCTTGCAGACAGCATATGTCCATTTTCCACCATGGGTTCCTCACCCACACCACTAGCCAATTCTTTTGTTTTTGCCACATTCACTCTCCACTGCCTTTTCAATGCTTCCTGCTATCAGCACTAAGTAAACATCAGCATTCAACAACTCTCAGGGCAGACCAGTCCTAAAGTCCTGTGATATTGCCTCCAGCATCAGGAGAAATAGAAGGGGGTTCAAGACACACCCCCTGATTGACTCTTACTTTTACCCCAAATTCCTTACTTGGCTCACCGATTATTTTCACATAGGTTTTTAAACCTGCATATACAGTACTGCTATAATCACTTGTGTAAGATACTCCTCAACTCATAGCTTTTTCATTGTCCACTTAACTATTTCATGTGGTGCCCTGTCAAATGCTCCCTCTAAGTTTACAAATGATATATAAGTTCCTTTCCTTGCAGCTGCTTGACCATAAATATTACCTCTGTAGTCCCCCTACCTAGCATAAAACCAAACTACTTTACTAAATCATTATTCTTAACAAGATATCAATTCTTTCCAAAGCTGTCACTTATTTCATACCTGAGATGCAATTGTCTTGAAGCTGTCAGAGGCATCACCTATAATCTTCTTGAAAGTGTCCTCATCAATGTTTATGTTGAGGTCCGAGTCCTCACGACGAATACATACAGAGTGGTCGATGACATCAAAGTCATGAGTATCAAGGCCTTGGTCTGTCATTTTCTTCTTTATCTGTGGGTTATTACACACTATTATGATCAGCAGTTAATTATGGCCACACCTATCTTTGGGGGAAGATTTCAAGAGATAACGTACCATTTTATGTCTTAATCCTTCTCCCCATTCTCTCTCTCTCACCCATGAAATATTCTTCATTCTCTTCCACCTCTCCTCCCTTGAAGGATACATTTTATACCAATTAAAACCATGCCAAAAATACTGGCCTATCAGTATGCTGCTATACCCCTGTACTTAATACACTGGTCTGCCAGTATGTTATCATTAACACTCGCTTGTCAGTATGACCTACCAGTAAAATATTTATCATACAGGAAAGCCTATCAATACAGTACTGCATCTTGCTGCATGCACTAACCTCGGCAATAATGGCTGCATCAAGGGTGGGTGTTTTGGAGAGGATGGTGGCAGAGGCGCGATGCCCAATTCTGGTTAACTGTTGACACTCAAATACTGCTGCATAACTACTGCCATCAGTATCAAAGACAATATAATCTGCCTTACCTGCAATATCTGAAACATAGAGAGAAGTAAATAAAAATCATCTAATAATTACAATACAGTATATTACTTCTGCTTTCTGCTGCATTATGAAGAAGGGTGTGTAATATGAGAGAAACCAACACAAAAAGAGGAAAATGTCATAAGTACAATACTGTACTGTACAGTATGTCAATTCTGTTCGGGGTAGCAGTAGCCATACTCACAAAGATAAAACCGGTACAGCAGTTGGGATTTACATCATATAGATACATAATTATGATCATCAGTCAGGTGTCTGATATTTTTAAAACATCATTATGGAAAATGCTGTAATATTATTTTGTTCTTGTATGTAAGTATCACTTTGGTTTATTCCATTATTAGGATAAAACCACCATGTTATATTATGTTCATTGTTGTTTCCTCTTTGTATTGTTACAACATTTTCCTTTGTGTTATTTCAGATATGTAGTGAAATAAGTCAAGTAAAGCTTGGATGTAGCAACCAAGTGTTTTATTTACCACAGGGTCCATACCTGGAGTTAGTCACAGCTCAAGGTTAAAGAAGCCACAACTTCAGAAAACCGTGAGGGCAAACTTTTTCGGAAATAGCACTGTGAACTCTTGGAACATTCTACCAGAGTGTGTTGTGAAAGCACCGAGTGTGAGCTCTTTCAAGACCAGACTTAACCAACACTGGAGCAGGTCAAGATACATTCAGGAGCCAGTATACATGCCCAGTACTTGCCAACAGTGCATAACAGAGATGTGACCAACTGCCCAAGCAGCTAATGAGCCAACCAGTAACCAAGAGGCCAAAAGCAAAAGCAAGTAATTTTCCACACTTGCAGCCCTCCGTGCTACACAATCTTTTGCACTCTTTTTTGTCAGGTTCTTAACTCTAATGCCATTTCTTACCTAATATCATATACTGTACTATGATACCAGTTTGCACACATCATGTCTCTGTTATATTAAATTCACTATAGATTACAGAATATAAAGAAATAACAGTTATTAAGCACAAAGTCCCTTCCAAGGCCAGAAGGCTAAGTGAAGTTCCAGGCTAGGACACGATCATATCTCCGGACATGCCACAATATATGTCGTACAGGTATATGGATAAGTATGTCCAGGGAGGACAATAGAATACACAATAATGTACTGTACAGTACTATCAAATATTCATATGGGCTACTATACAATAAACAGCACCCAGTTCAAAGGGCACATAACACTGCCATACCTCCAGACAAATCTCAACAAACAGTTTTTAGTTTTGGGGTCATATGCAACACAGACTCTATTGTTTACTGCCATTCATTCTCTGTAACTGCTGTGATAGATAAGTTCAGTTAAGGCGTTCCTCTTCCTCATCACAACCACAAGATTTTCCTTTGGTTCATCTCTGTCATTTCATACAACCTCAGGATCATCCATTCCCATAATATCCTTACTTGGAGCTGGCGGACGCTAACCCCACAAGGGGTCACAGCTCAAGACTGAAGAAGCCGCAAGTCCAGAAAACTGTGAGGGCAATCTTTTTCGGAGTGATAGTTGTGAACTCTTGGAACACTACCAGAAAGTGTTGTGACGGGACCGAGTGTGAGCTCTTTCAAGACCAGACTTGACCAACACTGGAGCAGGTTCAGGTACATTCAGGAGCGAGTGCATGCCCAGTACTTGCCAACAGTGAGTAACAGAGACGTGACCAATCGCCCAAGCGGCTAACGAGCCGATCATTTGGTGAAGAGGATAAAAGAAAAAGAAAATTAACAGATGTGACCGATCGCCCAAGCAGCTAACGAGCCGATCAGTGGTGAACAGGATTAAAGTAAAAGTTAACATCATTCCCTCTAATTGTGCATGCTTGCTGCTACAATACAGTACTTTCCAAATATCCATCCCTCTCCCGTACAATACCTTGATCTTAAAGTATTCCCATTCTTCTGTATGTGGTACAGGTACAGTATATGATAAGTTCAGGAAGGCCAATATAATACACAATGTGCAGTAGCTAAAACAACTATCTGTGCAGGTAGGGGTCGATATGCTGTATTTATCATCCACGGTCTCATATTGTTTCCCACAATGTATGCACAGTTAGTTGTTTTAGCTACTTTACTATCTAATAATCATTTCAAGACTCGGAGAAGAACAACCTGACAGATCATTTCAACACTTACTTAGGGGCCATTTGACACGCATTTTCCCACTCTTATCACCGTCAGGAATGTCCAGCGTGCCGGTGTAAGAGTTGGTGTGTTCGATTCTAAGTGAATCCAGCAGGACCAGTTGACGAGACTTGGTAACTTTGAGCTGAGTTGGCGACACACGTGTGTAGTTCAGAGTAAGGCAGGTGGATGATGTGTCGAACTGTTCTATCACATACCACTGACCCAGCAGCTGAAAAATAATGTGACTTTACTACATTAAAATTTACTTACCCAAATCCTAAAAGAAAAAAAATTACTGTATACTAAAAAAAAAAGTTGGCTACCACCTTTGATCGTAACAAGAGAACAGAGCAACAGGGAAAGTCAAGTTATTAATAATTGACTATACCAGGGATGGCCAACCTCCGGCGCATGCGCCAAACATGGCACATTGGATGATTAGAAGTGGCGCATTGCATCCCTGTGATAATAATAAAGTAAGGCAGTAAGCCTACTCATTATTTTTAGCAATTTTATTATTTCATGCACAGCATCAGACTGAAATAGAAGGAAAACTGAAGCTCGTGCTTGGGTCTGAGTTACGGAAAGAATATGTGACTAAGAAAGAGGAAGAATTCAGGATTAGACAAAATGTATGTTAAAAAAAGTTGTGAAAGTTTGTCAATAACAGAAGCATCCTATGAAATTGCTTTAGCATTGGCGAAAAAAAAGGAAGTCTTTCTCTGATGGAGAAGAAATTGTTAAGCCTTGTCTCCAAATATTTGCAAGACGTCTTGGTGATAAAAGTATTGAAAGGAAAGCAGACGAAATTGCTCTATCAAAACAGACAGTTACGAGACGTACCGAGGAACTCTCTCACGATGTATCTCAGCAACTGAAAGACCTTGTCCATTCTTGTACTTTCTTTTCTTTAGCTTTGGACGAATCAACTGACATAAGAGGAATTGATGATCATTTTAGTGTCTTTGAAGAACTTGTCAGTCTTGAGTCACTTCATGGAAAAACAAGAGGATCAGACATATTTGACAAAGTAAAATCATGTATAGAAAATCTACAATTAGATTCTAGTAAACTCATCACTGTGTGCACTGACGGAGCGCTGTCAATGATAAGGTAAAGTCGCCGGGACTACAACTTTGCTTGAAAACTTTTTAAATCGTCCTCTACTAAAATACCACTGCATTATACACCAAGAGTCACTGTGTGGAAAACCTTTAAATTTGCAGCATGTTATGTTACCAGTTGTGAAATGTGTAAATAAAATTAGAGCAAGAGCATTAAACAGACGAGAATTCAGAGAATATTGTGAAATGTTAGATTTGGAATATGGCGACCTTGTCCTTCATTGTGAGGTGCGCTGGCTTTCTAGAGGACAGGTTCTGAGCAGGTTTTGGAAAATGAAAAATACTGTTCATTATTTTCTAGAAGAGAAAAATGAGCTACCTGAGGAAAGAGCCCTTTTATGTGATAAAAACTGGCTATTTGATTTGGCATTTTTAGTTGATGTTACCAGACATCTCAATGATCTAAATTTGAAACTGCAGGGCAAGAACAAATTGTTTCCTAGCTTAGGAAATGACATCAATGCATTCAAGATGAAGTTAAAACTGTTCATCTCAGTTAGAAAATGAGGATTTGAGCCAGTTTCCGCACTTAAAAGAGCAGAGTGAATGTGCTGCTGATAATGGCAATTTGACAAAATACAGGTATACTGAAAAAATCAAGTTAATGCAAGTCATTTGAAAGTCGTTTTCGTGATTTTGCTAAAGAAGAAGACTGCATACTCGCATTTATAAACCCATTTTTACTTAGTGAACAAAAAATAATGGAACTTATTGACTTGAAAACAAATTCATTATTGAAAATAAAATTTGATGAGCTTTCCTCAGTCCCAAATGCTTCTGACATGATTAATTTCTAGCGATCATTACCCTGTGAAAATTTTCCAGAACTAAGAAAATTTGCCCAGAGTTATATACTATGTCATTTCGGAACGATATATAGATGTGAACAAGCATTTTCATCCATGAAATTGATTAAAAGCAAAACGAGGTAGCGACTGACTGATTCAAATTTGAAGAATTCTCTGCTGCTCCCAGTAACAAATTTAACTCCAAACATTGAAAGACTGGCGAAATCAAAACAGACTCAAAAGTCTCATTAAAGGTAAGTAATGTTTATCTGCTTTATCAGATATTGTTTTTATATTTAATAATTTTATCATGTAAAAATGCTAATTATGTCTATAAACATATTTTTACAAGAAGTAGACGGGGGTACAAGAGTTGTATGGCGCATCTGAACTCGTGTGTGAACAAATTGACGCATGGTATGTAAAAGGTTGGCCACCCCTGGGCTATACAATACCTTTATAATGTATTTTAGGAAGAGACAGGCAGGTTATGGGTGAGGTTAGGTTGTACAGTATGACATAACAGGAATAAACTAACCAGGACATATCTGTTATAGCAGCAAGAGTTGATAAATGACAAATGAAAAGAGAATTCACATTGTGCTCTAGACATAAGTGATACTAACAAATACAGAATAACACCAACAAGGAATAAACTAATGACCACAATATATAAGGCTAGTGCAGATCATAAGGGGATGAGAAATTATGAGACAAAAATAAATGAAACTGGATCCTCGTTGGTTGCCAAACTAGAGCAAGTTTGGAAAGAGATCCTCACTAAGACTGAGGAAGTTGCTGACAGAATAGAGGGAGTAGTGAAGAAGAGCTAAGCTTAGGCTCAGGCTGTAGCAGGGTCACATAAGGTGACGGAGAGTATTGCAGGATCCGAACTAGTAGACCTACTGATAGGAGAGAGGAGGAACAATGGGAAAGTTATGAGTGCAGGAACAGCAAAACAGTGTTTGAAGTCCTTGAGAGCCGGTCTGAGGAAGCTGAGAGTAGGAAAACACACGATAAGACAGAGTTTAAGAATATTTGTGTAGAGGATCTGAAACTGTCAGCCCCACCCCCCGCCCCCCACTCAGGATGTGAGGAGGCGAGGCCAAAGGCAGAAGAACAAGCCTCACCCCCTCAGAACCACACTAGTGAGTGAGGGTAAGAAATGGGAAGTTATTCAGCAGGCAAAAACCTTAGCAAGGAGCAATGCATTTTAGAATATACTGTACAGTATTCATAAACCCAGATCACATGGTAATGCAGAGAGAACAGCACAAAAAATTCCTGTGGTGCTTGAAACAGAAAGAGAATTCGATGAGGAACAGGGATGGATGTGCACGGGTTATATACAAGGGGAGGGTAGCAGAGGCAAGTGCACCAGTGCAGAACCAGGGGACAGCGGGACACCTCCCACCCGCTCTACTTCCCACCTAGGAGGCGAGCTCCTTGTAAACACTGTCATCTCTGACCAAACCCCACAAAATTCAATGCATTTGGTAAACGAGGCAGCTGCTGAGAAAAGGGAGATGCCAGAGTCACTACCAAAATCAGAGACTTTACCGAGTCTGGCTTGAAAGTCACGTACTGTACACTAATAATGACACGTTCCTTGATAAGAGAGCAGAGCTTGAAACCCTACTCAAAGTAAATCAACCTGATATAGTAGATGTGGTAGAACCGTTGTACAAGAACAATAGAATCAACCCAGAGGAATGCGAGTTCAATAAAGACAGATATGAATCATTTACGAACCTTTCTCAAGCAACTTGCAAGAGGGGTGTGGTTATCTATGCTAGGCAAGAGTTTAGAGCTAGCTAGATGAAGGTACTGGGGGAGGATATTTTTAAAGAAATAAAATCGGATGTATCTACAGATCCCCAAACTTTAGCTTATTAATCCAAAGGAACTTAAGAGCCTTAATTGACAATGCAATGACACTCAACCATGGCCACCTTCTTGTCATGGGTGATATTGCATGGGGAAACAAAACCAAACCAAGTCACCCGAATAGTCCTGCTACCCAATTTTCTATTCCAACATGTTAAAGATCCGACTTATTACAGAGGGGAGCAAACACCAAAATCACTGGACCTCATCATAACTTACGAGGAGGGTATGGTGGCCAAGCTGGAACACCTAGCCCCCGTTGGCACCAGTCACCAAGTAACGTTGTCCTTCAGATTTATGTTACTTGGTTCATAACAAAACCAGGCCAAGGTTAAAATATTACAAGGGTAATTACAATGAGATGAGAGGTATTCACTGGTCTATACGAATGCAGTCGCTACAATGAATATCATAGCCAGTAAATAGAACCATTTGATCGATAAATATATACCAGAGCCCAAACAGTGCCTCCAGGAATACAAGGAGACTTATCGCCACTAGCTTCAGCTACATAGTGCTGGCATTTGCTGCCTTCAGCACCTCCACTCAGCACTGAGTGCCTCCCAACACCTCAACTGAAATGCCGTCTATGAGTATCACCTTACCCAAACACAAAAATCTCTCAACCTACGACCATGTACGCCGCGACCTCCCTTGTAGACTGTAGAGGTGTTGTGACTCCTATGTGGCTGTGCGATCTGTGACCTTGTCAGATGTTTGTAAACATCATAGCCATAGAACAAGCGTCTCATTGTTATAACCATAGATAGAGGCTCGGGACACCTCTGGCACACCGTATCGTCCAACCCCATCGAGTGTAGTGAACACACCAACTCACAATCCTGTCCAAGATTTGTGCTAAGACAATTTACTCCGTACTATCGTTTCTTGGAGCACCATATTGATCTACATCGACCCGCACTTGTAAGTACAGCCTACGTGATGACATACCCCTCAGTACTGAAATATTGCGGACTAATTATGCTCGTAATAATGTGATGATAGAATACTGTGCCTACTCATTTTCTGCCTTATCTGGAGCAATAATACAATGTGGAATGAAACGCAACTAAGATTAATAGAGTTATGTACTGGCCTGACTCATTAAGGCCCAAGAACGCAGACACTACACTGAATATCATAACTAGTAAAGTGACCCATCTGATCGATAAATAGTTACCCAAGACCAAACCCAGTGCCTCTAGGAATACGAGGGGATCCCTACACATGAATCATGCGGCGGTCGACAAAGTTAAGAAAAAAAAACCCAGAAATTCAAGACGCGGGTTGGGTCAAACAATGAGCAGGACATGAGGATTTATGCAAGAGCCAGAAACCAAGCAAATATAGAATGTAGAAGGGCTGGAAAGGAGTTCCAGAGGCTGGTTGCAAGCGAGGTCAAGTTAAACCCAAAGGCGTTTTACCGCTAT